CAAATCACTCCCCCTGTGTCCCCCAAATCACCCCCTCTGTGTCCCTCAAATCACCCCCCTGTGCCCCCCAAACCACCCACCAATGTCCCCCAGATCACCCAACTCATGTCCCCCTCTGTCCCCCCAGCACAGGGTGACAATCACAAACCCATCCCTGGCCACGCCCCTTCCCATATTTCAGGGTCACTAGAAGCCACGCCCACAAAGACTCCTCCCACTCCCATGGGTTTTACTGCCCAGCACTGGCTCAGCCCCCAAGGGGTGGGGCCAAACAAACCCCTCCCCCTGCCCAGCCACACCCACACAAAGCCCCACCCCCAAGGGAGCAGTCACAGGGGTGGGGTCAGGGTGCTAAGGTGGGCCACGCCCACCTCAGCCCCACCCAGCTCGGGCCACACCCAAAACTGGCTCCACCCACTGATCTTAGGGCACACCCAAACTGGTCCCACCCACTCAAGAGCACCACACCCATATTAGGCCACACCCAAACCCAGCCCCACCCACCCCAGAGCCCCACCCATATTAGGCCACACCCAAACCCAGCCAGGCCACACCCATCCCTGGCCACGCCCACCTTTGCAAAGAGCCTGAGGCGGGCGCTGGGGTCACGTGACGTTGTCACCATCACCTTGGGGGGCTCCAGCCCCGCCCACCTGTACTCATCATCCTGGCTGTCACCTGTCTCTGGGGGCGGGGCTTTGTCAGGCCACGCCCCCTGCATTCCCAGCCCCGCCCACTGCAGCCACACCCACCCCGGGGTCACTGCAGTGAGTGGGTTCTGGGGGGATTTTGGGGGGAAATGGGTTTAATTCCCATCTTGGGGGATTCACAGCTCACTGTGGGGGGAACCAGGCCCAGATTTGGGGTGCAGCCCAGGCTGTGGCCGTTGGTGCAACCCCACACTCCCTTTGGGGTGAATTTAATCTCATCTGGGGGATTTTAAAACCCACGCAGAATTTGAGGAGACTTCTAAAAACGAGGCCAGTCTCTTTTTTCAGGTCTTTTTTTTGGCTGCCTCCCTCCTGTCCCTGGATTTCCCTCTCCCCATTTTGGGGTCCAGCTCATTCAAGGGTCTTGCCTGCCCCCCACCCCTGGGTTTGGAAGTTCCAACCTCCTCCAACTTGGGGGTCCCTCTCCCCCTCTTTCCCCCCTGATTTGGGGGTCCCCCTCCCTACTCTCCCCAGGGATTTGGGGGCCCCTCTCCCCACCCTCCCCCCTGATTTGAGGGTCCCTCTACCCCGATTTGGGGTGCCTTGGTCCCAATTTGCAGGTCCCTCTCCCCACTCTCCCTCCCCAATTTGAGGGTCCCTCCCACCCCAATTTGGGGGTCCCTCTCCCCTGGTTTGGGGGTCCCTCTCCCCTGATTTGGGGGTCCCTCTCCCCCGGTTTGGGGGTCCCTCTCACCCCCCGGTGCCTGGAAGTCGAACTCGAGCTCCTTCTGCAGGGCCAGCGCCTCGTGCCGCAGCTCCGTGGGCAGCAGCCGATTCTCTGGGGGGGGAGAGAGAAACCGGGGGGCTCAGACAGGACCCCCAACCCTCCCCATTCCAATACCCCAGCCCCAAATAACCCCCTGAGCCCGCAGCACCCCGATCTCCCCTTTTAACCCCTCTTTAACCCCCGAAATCCCTTAAACTCCTCTCTACCCCCCCAAACTCTCCTCAACTCCTCCAAATCCCCTTTGCCGCCCCCAACCCCCTTTTCACACTCCCGGAATCTCTTCCAACACCCCTTAACTCTTCCCAAACCCCCTGTAACCCCCCCCCAAATTCCTCCCGGTCCCTCTCCACCCCTCTCGCTGCCCCTGTCCCCCCTCCCAGCCCCTCTCTCG